ACTTGTAGATAAGCATGGTGCCAACGCCACAACGATAATAACAATAACAATTATAGGGGGCAGGTGGATTGGAATTCAGAACAAAGTGGAAAGAAGGTGGAACAGTTAAACACGGGAAAATTTTTGATAGCTGGGATAACAAATTTGTGTGTGCATGTTTCACCTTACACTTTTTGATATGTTTGTGTGGTTTATTGTTTTTACGGGGCACGGGATTTCAACAGACAGACCCTACAGCATTCGCACCACTGACTTCTATTCTGGGCCATATCTCTCAGCGGCTCTGACCAACGATACTCCTCATCCCTTGGGCTCCAACCTGAAAGGCGGATTTCACCAACCGAAGCCAAAGTTGAAGCCAGCATCTTCATACCTCTACGCCATGTCATGGTCTGACCGCCGCGGCGCTTCTTCGAACCTCGCTCGGTCCTTGCAAAGAGAGCACGGAAAGGGAGTCAATGGGCAAGCATACGCAATGCGTGACCAAGCCATCGGAGGCAGTGTGGAGCGATTATTTCTGTTAGGGAACGACTATCCACACCCAGCACACGACGACGAACCTCATCATTACTCACCGGGTATTAGTCAGTGCTAACAATACTGATTTGCACTGACTAATAATACAGAATGAGCCATCGAATAGAGACCAACTTTTATCTCCCAGGACTTTGCTTCGGCATTCCAAAGAATAACGTCCCTTGGGGTTGACACCAAAGCCCTTGAGGTATCGTTAGCTCGATCGCCTTACATTCGGACCACCGGTATTGAAGAGTTGTCTCAGTACGGGTTTCGAACGGGGAAACGTGTTCCAAGCATTCGCGTTTTAAGGATGATCAGGCGGCCAAGCAATTCATCCACAGCAGATATCAAATTAATCTTCTACTTGTTACCAGAAGCTGACAACTATCGGGGAAAAGGGAAATATCGAATTGTTTTATCCGCGTTAAAACTGTGGGCCGTGGTCTGCTCATGGCTGTAGACATCGAAGCGAATTTTTTGTCATACATTCCTAACCGAAATGGTGCGGATGCCGCATGCTTCATTGCGCCCGTTCGTGAAAGGAGATTGACTGACTTGCCTGAGTATAAATCACGAGTTTGAATGAAAGCCAGTTGAAGACCGCTTGAGGAAAGTAGAAATTGTGAGCACGTCTCTTGGTGGTTGGGTAGACTGTGTTTGCATGGTTGTGTGATGCATTCCGGTGAAATGTAGTTACCTTTTTTGATAAAAAATCTATGGTGCAATATCCCTGAATGTAGTGATATCATTTAAAATGTTTTCCTCTGTATTTGTATTGATTCTCATTTTTCCCCCTGACATTCATTCCAAATCACCACCCCTACTCACGAACCCGTCTGCACACAATTACACACTCACACACACGCACGCGCAAACAAACATAAAGGAATTACCAGTGACTGGCCCCGGAGACAGAAACCTGCAACAACGACACAATCGACGTCAGCTATATCTGCCCAACGTGGACTACGGTGTGATCACTCGATACACTTGTGTGGCTAAGAATAAAGCGGGTGAAATGAGACGGATTTTCGATCCGACATTAGTGTGTAAGTTTTTATGCAAATCTGCGAGTTCTTAATCGTTATAATAGACGTGAGGCCACAGACACAAACACATGAGGATTATTCTTCACAAAACTCACGCGCCAGTTACCGGGGTACTTGAACCCGAGTGTACCATATGTGCCTCTCAAATTTCCAGATCAACTCAGAATATCTTGCGAACAGCAACTAACTCACACGTGATCTAAGGATCGTTGAGACACTGCATCTGTCACTTGTTGGTCAGACTGATATCACTAAGTAACTTCATATGACTCATTGGGGCTTGGTTAGATAAACACCTTAATCGTGTGGGTGGGGGGAAGGGTTGTCAGATGATAGTGACTCGCCCCTCGGATTGTAGATATCATATCGAATGTGGAATACTGAGCCGACCAACTGTAGGGCCAAACTACCCAACTCAAATCTCTATGTGCTTCAGCATGTTGGTTAGATTATACGTCCATCTTATACCGACTGGCTTGGTTTGACTGATCAATATCAGGTGCCACTGAGCTTGAACATCCCTGATTGTTCACGATCTACTATCAGAAGGTCACAAAGCTATCGGAAAGAACTGTTCCGACACTCCACTCTCGTCCTCCTGTGGGATATTTATTCAATCTTTAATTGTTAAGGGCAGTGGGTGGTCCCGTATTAGCCCCATCTCATTGTGCTCCATTGGGCTGATTAGGTGTTGATACCAGACCAGTACTCCTGCATAGCTCTGTCGAGTTTAAGCTTGAAGATGCTATCTTTTGGCTCTTCCACTACGTCCTCCGGAAGCGCATTCCAGATATTTGTCACTTTCCTCGACTGACGATATATCAGAGACAGACCGTTTGACTGCATCGTGCGTCAGTGCGTCAGTGCGTCAGCGTCAGTGCGTGTCCCCTGATGCGGTTGTTGTTCCTCAGGGAGAATTCCAACTGCAAGTCTGGGCCAAAGTCGCCCCGGATGATGCGTCTGGTGTAGATCTGGCCGCCCCTCAGTCGTCTGTTTGACATGGAGAACAGTTTTGTTGCACTCAGCCGGCCTTCGTAGCTGATCCCACGTAGTCCTTCGACGAGGCATGTAGCAGCCCTTTGAACTCTCACCAGTTGGGCAACCTCAGAAGCCGTACAAGGAAAGACCACCAGACCGCCATTATCTTCTATAGACACTGGCTCATACCGATAGGCAAGCTCTGAGGTAGACCCTTCCCGTTGATAATAACAATAATATCATATCTGAGTAAAATGAACTACGTGCTGGAATTTAGACGGTGAATGTTTGAATTAACTCATTCGGTTTTTTCACAGGCACCAGGCACTGTTGATGATCTTGGGTGTGGGTTTCACTCCCTGGGAGATCATTAATTACTCACTAGTGGAATGTGTTCAAATTCGATGGGAATCTTTGTGATGACCGACACAAAGAGTATTGGACAGCTGTTTGGCACTCGTCTGCAGTGCGTACTTCTTGTGCCCCTGTCAGGACTCGAACCGTGACTATTTGGGTGGGGAGTTTAAACCCTTACCCCTCAGCTACACGGTCGACGGTCATCACCTTATGCGCATGGCTCAATCAGTTTAGACGGTGAATGTTTGGATCAGCCCATTCGGTTTTTTCACAGGCACCAGCCACGGCCCTGACAGGGCCACACAAAAAGTACGCAATGCTGACGAGTCCCAAAGCCGAACGAAACAGCTGCCCAGTTCTCTTTGTCAGTCCACGAAGATTTCCATGTTTTGGAATGCGATGACGTCAACCAAGTTAAAAATCACCGGCGGAGGCGCATCCAGTGGGACGTTAACGAAAAACGTGCACGTGTAAAGGCAACCACTGACACCGGTATGAGTCACGACGTTGTGGTCACATAGCACAAATGGAAAAGTTCTAAACCGTAGGTAAGACAACGTAAAACAGACAGCCAAACATGAGATTTCTAGATAGGGGCAAATAAGTCCGGTGATCAGATTCCTTTTTTCTCAGGCATCCCCGAGGCCAGGTTAAACGTGTTCTTGTTTTATTTACCTTAAGCTGCTAGTATTATTTGCTTCGTGATCCAAAAAGCAAAGATTGACCAGTATTTCCACGAATTGTGAATGTGATACCTATGCGCGGTGGTGATCGATACGCGAGCCCTTGATGAATTGTGAGTCCAAACTCACATAAAAGTCATGGGATTAAAGTCGAACCGTTACAACGCTGTATGATCAAAGTCAAAGTCAAAGTTTTATTATGGGCGATTTAACAAAGCTAAAGCTTATCATGCCCCATAG